TTTGGCAACTAATCTGGCTTTATACCTTTCTATAGTGCCATTAGATTTATATTTGATTTTGAAAACCCATTTGCAACCAATACAATGTTTGCCCTTTGGTAAATCAGTTAAAATCCATGTTTTTGTTTGTTCTAGGGCATTCAGTTCTTTATTCATAGCTTCAACCCATAAAGGATCTTTTGCAGCTTGTTTATATGTGCTTGGTTCAGAAACAGTACTGATGGATGCAGTAAAACAGCTATGAGAAGAAGATAACATATCAGGGGACAAATAATCAGAAATTGAGTAAGGTGATGTTCCAGGAATGTTAGGAAGTGTGTTTGAGGAACAGGAAGCAGCATGATGGTTCAAGGAATGTTTATAAATGTCCAAATAGGCTGGGATTTTATGTATTCTGGATGATCTTCTTCTTTGTTGAGGGGAATTTAAATCTGGAGAGTTATCTGGGGGTTGAGAACATGTATGTTGAGTATGTGATGTGGGAATATCAGTTGTTGTAGGTTGAATATGAGAGGGTGGAGTATTTTGAGTTGGTGAATGAATAACTGGGGAACTAGTATGGGTGTTTTGAGATGAAAGAGAATTATCATCAAAGTCAAAGATAGATTCAGGATGTGGGAAAAGAAGATTAGAAGTATTAGATGGGGATGACTGAGCAAAAGGAAACACATGTTCATAAAATATGACATTCCTGGAAATTAATGTCTTCTTGGTATCCAGGTTGTAAAGTTTGTATCCTTTACAACCAAGTGGATAACCAAGAAAAATGCACTTAGATGCTCTAGCATCAAATTTATGTCTATTAGCAATCAGAGTTGATGCATAACATAAACAGCCAATAACCTTCATGTGATCATAAGTAGGCAGTTTGTTAAAGAGCATTTCAAAAGGGGATTTGTTTTGTAAAACAGGGGTGGGAACTCTATTTATAATGTGGGCAGCAGCTAACACACAATCAATCCAGAAATGTAATGGAAGGTTGGCATGAAATAAAAGAGCTCTTGCAACTTGTAAAAGATGTTGGTGTTTCCTTTCTACTCTAGCATTTTGTTGAGGTGTTTCAACACATGATGTTTGATGCAAAATGCCATGATCAGAATAGAATTGTTTGAGAATGAACTCAGTACCATTATCAGTTCTTATGATTTTTATTTTTCTATCAAACTGAGTTAACACCATGTTGTAGAAATGAATGAAATGACTTTTGATGTCAGATTTCATGAGAACAGGATAAATCCAAGTAAGTCTGCTATAATCATCCACAATAGTGAGAAAATACTTGTGACCAGAATATGAGGGAATTGAGAAAGGACCCCAAACATCACAATGCAATAAATCAAAGGGATGATCAGCAACAGAATGACTTTCAGTAAAAGGTAATCGTTTTTGTCTTGAGAAATGACATACATCACATGGGATTGAACCCTTATTGAGTAAATGAGGAATAGGTAGAGTTTGAAGTTTGGAATATGACAAGTGACCCAGTCTATTATGCCACAAAGAGGAATCAGAGGTTGGTTTTGTTACAGGTAAATTGGGGGTTACATGGTTAACAGCAGATACATTTGAATGAGAAAAAATATTAGAATCTATGTTGAGATGATATAATCCTCCTCTATGATCAGCAGAACCAATCATTTTGAGGTTTGTCAGGTCCTGTATTATGCAAGAAGAAGACAGGAATTTGACAATGCAGTTACAGGTAGCAGCCAATTTTGAGACAGATATTAAATTAAAAGCAAATGATGGGACATATAATGCATCAGATAATATGATAGAGTCAGACAGCTTTACATTCCCAATCATAGATGCAGAAGTATGATTACCATTTGGAAGATTTATTTGCACAGATACAGAATGAGCATTTGAGGTATAAAAATTAGGACTGCATATCATGTGATCTGTTGCACCAGTATCCAGAATCCATGTTGTAGTGCATAAATTTCTAGTAACCATGCATGATAGAGGTGTAGTCATACCTGAAAGCTCAGCAAAAGCAGTAGCCACTACAGGAGGATCATGAGATGTAGTTTTCACCTCCTGAGATTTCTTAAAGGCTAAAAACTCATGAAATAAACTGTTAGTCATGGAAGATGCATCATCATGAGTAACAGAAGTGGGAGAAGGTGTATCAGATATAGCTGCATGAGCAGAATGCTGTTTAGAGATTCTTTGACCCTTAGGTCCAACCCAATTTGGAGGATAGCCAATGATTTGAAAGCATCTGTCAATGGTATGACCTAAAAGGCCACAGTGAGAGCATTTGGGACGATTTTTGTCTTTGTTGTATGTAGGATTGGGAGGTTTATTATGAAACTGTTTGTGTTGAGATGTATGTTGGTAGGTGTGGGATGATTTAGCTAACATAGGAATAGAATCTGATGGTGTGGTGTTGGATAAGGTCCTCTGGCTTTCCTCTTGAAGGAGGAGTGAATAAATGGTAGTGAGAGGGGGCAGAGGTTTAGAAAGAAGGAAATGGCTTCGGAGAGAGGAGTAAGACTCGTTTAATCCAATCAAAAACTTCATAACACAGTCATGCTGTTGAGCAGTAGCCATAGCCTCAAAAATTTTACAAGTACAATTGGCAAATACACCACAAACACACTTGATAATAGGACGATAAGTAACATATTCATCCCACAGAGACTTAAAACTGGTGTAATACTGAGTAATAGACATAGTTCCCTGATCTATTGTGCTCAATGATTTTTCTAGGTGAAAAACCCTTGGGCCACTAGACAAAGCATAGCGAGACCGAATTTCTTCCCAAACATCTTGAGCGACAGTAAAAAACAAAAGAGATTGTCTTATATCTTTGTTTACAGAGTTCAATAACCATGATAAGACTAGATTATTCGCTCTAACCCAAGCAAGAGACAGATTAGGGTTATCAGTGGGATTAGGAACATACACAGTACCGTCGACGAAGCCGATTTTGTTCTTGACGTTGAGGGCCATGGATACAGCACGGGACCACGACACGTAATTGTCGCCGTTGAACAGCTCGGCGACGATCAGCGCACCAGGATTGTCGCTGGCATGCAAAAAATATGGAGATGTCGGATCTTCGGACGGATTCACAGTAGTCATTGTCTAAATCGCTCAAATATGTAACAGATCTGATCGGAAAAACAGTGAATCGAATATAACAGAGGTCGATCTGAAAATTGAATGTCTGAAAATCAAATGAGAACGATCGATCGCAAAAAAACAACAGATCAACGAGAAATTGGATCGAACAGCAGCGGAATAACAGGATCTATGCGACTGATACCATATCAAGTAACAATCGAGCACATAAAGAAGAAAGATTGAAAGATTGCATTAAGAGAGAAAAGGAATATCAGTCTTGTACAGAGAAGAGAGAAGGCGGAGAAAAATAAAATGTGTGAAAAAGTGAACTAGGGTTTACAAGGGTATGAGTATTTATACTAATGCTAAATAACTAAAGGTGCTAAAGAGGGAGTAGCACTTTTATTATATGAACAACATAACTAATACAAAGGTATTTAAGGTAAACATATATTATTCTATTAACATGTTTACGAAACGTTGTAGTAGAAAGCGCTTTCGTAAATAAATCTGTTGCATTATGGTTTGATCGAATGTATTGAATTTGATTTGTTTATCTTTTTCAAGCTCTTGAGTGTATTTTGACAGGATATGTTTAATTCGGTCACTTCTAATATATCCCGTTTTGGTTTGTGCAGAAGATGTTGCATTGTCTATAGCCGTTAAATCTTTGTTATTTGATAATCCACTAGCTTTTTGGATGTGGTGATTCGTCTTTGTGGGTCAAATGCATTCCCTAGTTGCTTTACGAAGTGCAATGATTTTAACATCGTTTGAAGATGCAACAACCAATTTTTGTTGTCTAGAACCCCAAGAAAACACAGTTCCGTCAATCGTGAAAACATACTTAGATTGAGATCTTGCCTTGTGTAGGTTTGATATATATCCTGCATCTGCAAAATCAATAATTTTAATTTTTTTTTATTGGAATCAAATAATAATCTCAAATTGATTGTCCCATGGAGACAACGGAATATATGTTTAATTTCATTACAACGTCTTTTAGTTGGTGACAAGTTATATCTTGCTAATAAGTTAGGGAGAAAGATATATTCGATTGGTGCAATTAACAAAATACATTAGATCTCCGATCCCGCTCATATATGATACTTCAGTACCAAGTAGCATAGCCTAGCTAGCTACTTGTCAATAATAATGGTGATATACAAATTAGTAGTTCATTCCAAATTTATGTCATTGATATATCTAGTAAATTCTTATCGTTGTGAGTACCTAATATAGATAGTCGGATAGAGGGTTCGTGCCGATAACGTGTAATAAATATAGAGAAATAGACATTCATACATGCTACGTGAATCAACATTGAACAATTATTTAGATATATTAGTAACTGACTTTTTAAATAACTTGTAAAACGACAAAAAAAAAATATATATATATTTAAAAACGGTGAAAAAAAACATCAAATAGCGAGTAAATTTTGTATTTACCATAATTAAAATTTTGAAAAAAATTTATTAATTTGGATTTGTACTATTATATTTATTAAATAGGTAAATTTGTTATATAGTAATAAATTGTTAAATTTTAAAATAAAAATTCACAATATAAATAAAAAATAATAATTATTTTATGGCTAGACTTTGCATGACATATTAGTCTAACTACTTTTTCCTTTTTCAACTGATTTTAGAGGGACAAATTGTTCCACTTGAGTTGACACAATTCACACAAAAAAGCATCCTTGGATGCAATAATCCACACCTATATATTATATCATATCCCATTTACAACCAACCAAAGATCCATAGTTTTTTTTTTTTTTTTTT